CCACCAGTCTTGACCCCACATTTCTCCTCATAGAGCCCAGCCTCCCGGATAATCTGTTCTGCATATAGGTTGAAAAGGTATGGAGATAGGATGCGTCCCTGGCGTACGCCCTTCCCAATTTTGAACCATGCAGTGTTCCCTTGCTCTGTTCTGACTCAAGGTACACTGTCTAAATACACCAGCTACTTTGCAGGAGAAAGATTGACAATATCTTCATGTGTGATTTACTAAAAACCCATTGGATGGTCAGTTATGACTTTACAGTATACAACAACAAACAACAAAAAATGATACAGTGATAGACAAAAATCTTGTCTATTTTTACTCTTCAAAGTACATCACTTTATGTTATGGTCACTGTTATTAGTATGATTTGAAGATCTGGTTCAGTTCTTGTTTTTAATTACTGTCCTTGTAAAATTTAAAAAAAATACATACATTAGATTGCAAATACTTTGTACTTACTAGTAAGATACTAAATTATTTATCATCTATAAATTTTGCTATGGCTTTTATGAAAATTCAACTTAAAACTTTTAATCTTTCCTGTTGTTGGTTATTGTTTCTAACTAGATATTAACAAGTTAATTCAAAGCCTTTATTAAAACTTTCACAGAGAATGGTCTATTTACAGATTTCATAAATTTACTAACATAGTTACTTCTATGTATAATACTTCTACGTTATAATAATAATTTTTAGAAGTAAAATCGTATAACTGAATATTTATAAACATACATTTTCAGAAAGGTTTCTTCACAACATGGAAGTCTTGGAAAACAACTACTTGTTCCCACTGTTAGACTGTTGTTGTGTGCCATCGAGTAGGAACTGACCCATAGCAGACCCTTTGGCAGGTTTCCAGAAGCCGTAAATTTCACAGGAGGAGATTGCCTATCCTTCTCCTGCAGAGCAACTGGCAGATTTGAACCACATGCCTTTGGAATTTCAGCACAGCTTCTTACAGCTAGACCACTAGAGTTCCCTTTGTTAGACTAGATGTGTTTAGTATTTCAAATTGTCTACTGGGTTGTGTTACTGCTGAACCTATTTATATAAAAGGTCAAGAAATGTTGAATATCTGTCTTTTTTTAAAAGAAAATGACTTTTCTTGGTAATAATTTTATTCTTAGAAAAGATTTTCAAGAGTCATACAAGTAACTACCCCAGATTTTCTAATGTTTCCATTTAGCCCCATTTATTTTCTCTTTCACATACTCTCCTGTTTTTTTCTGTCCTTCCCTCTGCAAGAAAAATGTTTTGTTTTTTTCTGAAAAAAAGTAAAAATATTTTTTCAGAACTCCACTATACATTATCAAAACAAAGGAATTAAGTATTTTTAGGGAACTTCTGTCCATAGTTCATATTTGGATTTTGTTAACTATCAGAGTAGTGGTATTTTGGTTTTTATTTTTTAATTCCCTCCCAAGATACTATTTAGAATCACACATTACATTAAATTTGTTACATTTATTGGTATTTCTTAGATTTCCTTTGTCTTTCTTGACTTTGCTATTTTTTTAAGAGGATAAGCTAGTGTGTTCTTTAATAATCATTAATTTTGGCTATCTGATGCTTTATTATTGATTAGATTCAGATTGTGTGTATTTTTAAATCAGCACTAGAAATGAGGTACTGTATCCTCAGGGCATAAAATCAGGAGGCATGTGTTGAGTTGCCTCACTGCTGATAATAGTAACTTTGACTATTTTACTAATGTGATGTTAACTAGGTTTGGTTTCTTCACTGTAAACCCATTCCTCTTCCTATCTTAAAAGTAAGTATTTGCTGAAAAATATTTTTAAGACTACACGTTGTTGTTGTTGTTGTTGTTGTTGTT